TACAACTACCCGAAAGGAGGTTGTAGTGAGGTGGGTGTTGGCCTCTTCTCTCAAGTAGCTAGTGATAGGACAAGAGGAAATGGGCTCAAGTGGTGTCGGGGAGGTTTAGATTGGATATTAGGAAAAATTTCTTCACGGAAAGGGTAGTCAAGCATTGGAACAGGCTGCCCAGAGAGGTGGTGGAGTCACCATCACTGGAAGCGTTCAAAAACGGGTAGACGTGGCACTCGGGGACATGGTATAGTCTAGTCTACCCTTAATTGGTTTAGTGGTAGACTTGGTAATGTTAGGTTAATGGTTGGACTGAATGATCTTAAAGGTCTTTTCCAACCTAAACGATTCTATGATTCTATGATCTGTCCACTTCCTATTAAATTGAGTCATAGTACTGTTTGAAATTTGTTTCTAAAGAACAGGGTACCCAGATAAATTAACTACTTATTACAGAAATCAATGAACCTCTGCATATAACACAGAACATTCCAGTATCAAGGTGCAAGACTTAAAGGCATAAAGACAGAGACAGATAAAGGAATAAGAAGTAGTCAAAAGAACTGCTTGCATGGGGGACATTATGTGGCACTGAGCAGGTGAGGCTTAGAAGCTAACATGTCTCAAAAAGCCAAAGCCATGCACTTCAAAGAGGGAACCTGAGAAGTTTCCATCTACTAACCTCTCCTGAAGTAGGTTGCACAGCTTTCAGCAAATCTGAGACAGCACTGGCCAATGTTCGAGCAGCTTTCAGGAGGTCTTCTCCACTTCCAACTTCATCATCCATGAGAGCAGCAAGCAGTTTCACACCTTTAGACATCTCAGTGAGGTTGGAAGAGATGGTTGTAATTGCACATCCCACAGCAGTGTAATCAGTGTCAACCGGGTCCCCTGTAGAGCAAATAATTTTCATGATCAGAATGCTTTAATGGTTAAGAGGAAAGAAAAAGGCAGCTACTACAACCTACACTCTGGTGAGAGACAAAAGAGACATTTCAAGATAGCCAGGCAGTGCCTACTAAGTAATTTCATTGTCACTTTAAAAAATTAGAGACTGCTACAATTTTTCCAATTTCTACATTTCTTCTTCTTCTACAAGAATTTATCTTCTAATAGAATTTCTCTTCCCAGTTTCAGCTATCTTTCAACACTGAAAGAACCAAAGGTAATACAGTATTGACCCCTTTAAGCCACTCCTTCAACTTGTAATTTGCTGAAGAAAAAAACACTGTCAATAAACACATCACCTCTCTCTAACAACTGTCAGATCAATAACACTTTTTTGTAGTAACCTTGCAAACACTCTCAACTTTACTTTGTTGAATAAGCAAGCTACGTTCTACCTTCATCAATGGTCATACCTTTAGTGCAAGACATAAACTGAAGATACAAAAACTGCATTGGGAGGGACAGAAAGAAAGCTTGTTCTGCACATCATGCACTTAGCTATTAGGGTATTTTGAAGAAAATTTTTCTCCAGCTGCCCCATACTCAGTCCCTATGCTACTTGAAATAGACTGATAAATAACCAGGAGACTGTAAGGAAATCCCTCCCTTTGAAATTTACCTGCTGTAAGGTTAACAACAGATGCAGTTCCTGCAGTGATAGCATCAACCTGAGAGTGTATTTCATGTTTTGATTCATCAACCTTGTTCTGAACCCATACTCTTGATGCCTGAAGAGCAATGACAAAACCAAGAATTAAGGATTGCAGTGAGATCCTGTAATGTAAATCTCTCATTCCTTCATGAACCTTTAAAAGTGAAATGGAGGACAACGACCAAGCCCTTGAAGTGAAATATGAAAGCAAGCATTTTCTTTTGCTGAATCATTCACTACAGAATTGCTATCACATTTCAACAGCTGCCCTTTTAAGGTAAATGCCATAAAGAGTGCAACCATGAAGGCTAAACACTCTTGACTGACAGTCGCCCTTAAGCAATAGTTTCTAGATCTGTCCTCCTGCCCTAACCTGGATCAGGAATGACAGAATCATATTTTGTTCTTATGTTTCAAGTGTTCGGGAGGCAGTCACTCCTGCCATAAATATTGCCCATTGTTTGCATTTAATTGTACATAGACACATGAAACAAATAGGATTCCAGACACGGTTATGCAAGGAAGTCTGCTACATCTAATCTCAGAAGACTTATTAGAGTGAGGTGAAACACCGTACTGGAATTCCTTAAAGAGAGCACAAAATTTTTATCTCATTTTAAAAGCCTTAGCAATACCACTTCAGATCCAGGGCCAATGACTAAACTGATCTGTAAACACCCCAAAGCATTAAGAACTATTTCTATGAGGGATTAGCAAAACTCACCATGTCCTGCCCTAGAGGTGGTAGGTTATCAACTTCATTGAGGTCAGCTTGTGCCTGTTGAACAGCGTGCATACTGGTATTAATAGTCCCCATCAAGGCCTGCTGAGCTGAGGTCTGAAAGGCAAAACAAGGAAATGGCTGTGTGCTGTGTTCCAAATGGCACTTCAAGCAGATGTTACATATGCATGGAGACAGTGAGTGACAACAATCACACCAGGCCAATTGAGATAGCTAGCTTTTCCCTGGTGCAACGGAGAAAGCAAAGCTCTCTAATACTCCTCTCACAGAGTCTTGATTCTGCCTATGCCATTTTATACTCCTCTGTATTTGCACATATTTATAAAACAGTGAACTTTCTCAGATCAAACAATGCCCAACAGACAGATGCAAAAACACCAAGCTGCCTTACTGACTTGCATTCTAGGAACATGGACATGAAAACTGAATTTGCTTCTAGGATGTCATTATTGATTTCCTGGAACAGCCTACCAATGTAATCAAGGACGATTCTAAAACTAAATTGCCATGAATATGCATAAGCTAACAGAAGACTGAAGGGTTTTAGGCAGAGCAGGATGGCTATCTGCATTGGGTGTCTGTGGCAAGGTTTTGGCTGCACGGGTGGCTTCATGCCAGGCACAGCTGGTTCTAGACAGCTCCAACAGACCCACCGCAGGACGCAGCTACGCCCAGCAGCCAAGCTGGTGGCACCTGTGGGAAAACATTGTTAAGAATGGGCAAAACATCACATGGCAGTGAGGGGGGAAAAAAGAGTTCAAGAAACAACCCTGCAAACACCAATGCCTGAGAAGGATGGGGAAGAGGTGTTCCAGGCATAAGAGCAGAGATTCCCCAGCAGCCCATGGAAGAGACCATGGTGGAGCAGGTATTTCCCTGCAGCCTGTGGACAGGGTCATGCTGGAGCAGAAATCCACCCTGCAGCCCACAGAGGACCCCACTCTGCAGCAGGTAGATATTTCCCTGAAAGAAACTACAGCCTCTGGAGAGCCCATGCTGGAGCAGGGTCCTGACAGAAACCGCAGCCTGTGGAGGACCCATGCTCGAGCAGGCTCTCCTGACAGGAACTGCCGCTCATAGGGGACCCACACTGGAGTCATTTATCCTGAAGGACTGCAGCCCATAGAAAGGACCCATGCTGGAGCTGGGGACAAGTGTGAGGAGGAAGGAGAAGCAGAGAGAGGCTGTTATAAACTGACCACTTGGGGTCAGGGAGTAGAATAGTCAGAAATGAAGTAGTGAAGTTGAGTCTGGGTAAAAAAAGGGGATGGTGGGAAGGTGGTTTAGTTTTTGTCTGTTTCTCACCATCCAACTCTATTTTAATTGACAATAAATTAAATTAATTTTCCCCACATTGAGTCTGTTTTGCCCTTGAAGGTAATTGGTGATCTCCCTGTCTTTATTTCAACCTATGTCAAGATAAAGCTTTTTTCAATCTTATTTTCTCCCCGCACCCCCACCATCCCATCTTGTTGAGGCGCAGGAATGA